TTATTACATGTATAGCTTTGACGTGTATCAGGACATTGAAATCTATTCTTAGCGTGGATTTGAGAGGGTCCATGATATATGACGAACTTACTTGTAGATTACAAGTACAAGCAAACGCGACAGATTAGGTAAAATCCTTGGAATGTTCATTACTGACTAACAGGGATAGAAGTACACTACAATAAGATGCATGGTTGAGATGACATTCAACCTGGCTGTTTGTTTTTACTAACCAATTAAATTTTGACATTTTCCTTTCGGTGGCTGTTTGTTTCAGCGATGTCTCTGAAAGAAGCAGGGAAACTCCTCGAGAGTAAAGTGTATGACACTTTACAACTTCAGGTAAATAATTATGCACGTACGATTCGTTTATTTTTTTGACAAAACCAATCAGTTTCAACGGACCAGACTTATAACGCCATCGACTGACAAACACTATTCACATCAGTAACTATAAGGATGACTTCCGCTCAGGTTGTGGAAACGTCAGTCACCATCAACAGTTCTTTTCTACCCTCACCCAAAAGATCACATTATACAAACTGCTGATACTCCTCCTGAGTTCAAACCATTTACTATGCTGTCAACTGGGTTAATTCATGTTTTTGTTCGTTCCAATCCATTTAACTCATGACAATTCTTTGCGGCCATTTTTATTTTGCCATGTTAAGTGGATGGGCAAATTAGTTTAAAGAGAGAAAAATGAACACATCCTTCTGTGAACTTTTTTTTTTTTCGGGCGAAGGGACTTATAATCCAGGCGAACTGACATCGAGCGAACTGGCTGTCGGGCAAAATGACTGGCTACTGATGAATCAATTGCAAACATGACTCTTACCCGGCCCTCGAGCTTTCTTCTCTGGAACAGGAATTGTTTTCTCTCGTTATTAACCTCAGACAGGTTGCTCAGCAACTCGACTAAAACCTTCGAGTGCACGAGAATGACTTGAGTACCATCAGAGTTAGCCTGCGAGCAGGCCCACGTTGCGCGGCGTAGTCGCGAGTAAGAAATCGAGCGGCGAAGCCGCGAGACTAGACTCCTTCTTTGCTCTTCGCCGCTCGCGCGTGTGACTCAAAGGTGAGCTTGCTCGCAGACTACCTCAGAGTGCTCTCAAACGCTCTTACGCTCACTTTCTTGATTCGTTTCACACAGCGTCAAATTTTTGATAATGAACTCGACTAGTTTCTTTTGTCTTTCACAGATCTGGGCTCTTTTACCAGGATTCTGCACCCGACCTACTGACCTGTGCCAGGTACTGCATATACACATGTAATGGAGCATAACTTATGCTACCGTTTGCAGAAGATTCTACTTCTTTTTCGTTTTCACCATAGAAAGTTTTTCATGAAAAGAACGCGGCTTGCAGTC